GGAGGGGGTGGAGGGAAGGTAGTAAGCTTGCAATGGACTAGCATCTCATCCTAGAAGAGTAGGAGTTCTTCCTGTTGCTTCATGCTACGGAATCCACATCGGCAATACGTGTCAGTCTCACAGACAGATAAGTTATCAGTGACACTGTTGTCTTAGCCTTTGATTTTCAATCTTACGGTCTTTTGCACATCAGTTGCAGTGAACCGCAATGCAGTGTGTGTACTCGTACCTGTCAAAATACTTATATGACGCGTTAATCGAGTTGCGCTGTTCCATTTTAGAAGACAAAGAAAAGCGCAAAGAAAGTTCGACCAAATATTTGCCAACGATATCGGAAACAGAGGAAAAAGTAAAAGAGCCGAAACTGAAACCGAGCATCGAGGATTCCAAGGCGCATTCAGAAGTAAATTCCTCTCATGAGACAGAGAATACTTGTACTGACGAAGAAATTTCATCGATTGACGAATTTACTGAGAGTGAATTGAGAGAGTCTATTGAAATGGCTGCGAGCATCGTAGACCGTCAGGACGTGGTTAATGCGCAAGAGAACGAAGGTCAGGCACAAAAGCCGTCCGGTAAACAAATCAAACAGGACCCTGACATGTGTTACAGTGATTACAGATTCAGACTGAGGCTAAGAGTTCATTTTCGCATAAATGAAGAGGCTATTCGTTGTCTTCTACTAGTAAGGTAAGAAAAGTGGCTTTAGAAAAGTGGCTTTCATCGTCAGACTGTTTTTCTTACTGTTTGTTTGTTAGTGAGCTCGTTTTTTCGCTTGTTCATCCTTTCTTTCCTTGGTATGTTCGTTTGATAGTCCGTCCATCCCCGCGTCTTTCTTCATGTGTTCCCTAATCCATGTTTTCGTTCATTCCCTCGTCCATTTTTTTTCGTTCACTCATCCATTTTAACCCTTCTCTTTACGACTGCCACTCGGTCAAGCGCCCTTGGTCACTGTTATTCAGTTATTTCCAATGTTGCACTGGAATTTCATAGGATACTTCCAATGCCCCTCTTAGCACTAATCGTGTCAAAGTCGCTCTTGGTTGGTCTGCTTTGGCATCTTTGCCCTCGCTTTGGCTTCCAAAATATCGCTCTGTGTACGACCTCATTTTTACTTCCGTAGCATTGTCTTTCTTACTCGGTGTTCTACCAACTGCCACTTGGATGAGAGAAACTGAAACAGTGTCTACAGCATCTAATTTCTCCTTACAATATCCCCCCCTGAATCAAACATTAAGGTCATGAGAATACAGGAAATGATCACCAACTAAAAAGGCTCATGATTGTTAAACAAATTCTCCTTGTCAACACCTTAGGAAATGTACAAAGAACGGTATGGAGAATATGCATAATGGTCTTAGGGCGTAAAGAGTAACCTCTCACAAGCCCTTTAACCTCTAAGAATAACCAGCACCTAATTTCTCCTTACAATATCACCCCTGAATCCACACATTAAGGTCATGAGAATAGAGGAAATGATCACCAACTAAAAAGGCGCAGCCCTTGATTGTTAAACAAATTCTCCTTACCAATACTGTACGAAATGTATAGAGAACTGCATGGAGAATATGCACACTGAAGTTAGGGTGTAGTGGGTTTTCACGAAATGTTTTGATATCCTCCGCTCCCCCGCACCACAGAAAACTAAAGCTAGATTTTCCCCCGGCATCCTCAAGTCCCAAGAAAAGAACCACGCCTGGTGTTAGTCCAAGTGCGCTATCGAGTAAAAGGGCGTGTATGGTTTCTGATCGTAAAAAACCATTAAGGAAAATTTTCTGAATCATTTAATGGCCTGTTTGTTTATCACAGAGAGCAAGATCCACTGGTCCTCAGCTGTACGTGTAATTTCAACGAAGAAGGAGCTTTGTCACTATGGCAACGACAAAGAGAGGAGGTGGGTGACTTTATAAGAATCTGAATCGTAGTTCATTTGTGCTATTTAAAGTAGCAGCTAAGACCTCTCTTGGGCCTCTCTTAGGCCTCTGCTTAGACAGAATTCGCAGTAAAACCATTTCACGTTACTCAGTTAACGGCGCGAAATTCTCCACTTTTGGAAATTGTATAAGATGGCAAACTTTGTTTCTTTTCATTGCTCGACAGGAAACGAATGAATGGCTCCCATTCTCAATAAAACATCGCTTCACCGAGACTGCTGGTCTATTTTTAAGGGGCGAAGATACACCGACTGATTGACAACCCAGCTCCTCGATCGCACGCTTTGTTGGTATATTCTCCAGAACGGAGACTACTCGTTGATACTGAGCAATTTCCACGTATTTTCGAGCAGTGATACAGAGCTTACACGACCCTCTGTTTCCGTTCCCGAACAGAACTGTGCGCTATCATCCCTAGACACTAACTAGGCCGTTCATGCCTGCTGAAATTTTTTTTACAATAGAACAAGGAACGTGGGTAAAAGGTAGACTATAATAGTCATTTCCCGTCGCGCACGTTCGTGTGTGTCACAGATGGGCGCATATTATTAACTGGTCGCTGGAGCGCAATGTTGCCATTGGGCGAACATTAACGTGAGAGAGGTTGAGTACTAGTGTATTGGCGCGCGCGTGATTTGTAGGTGGGCCTAAGAAGTTTTTACTCCAGCCAGCCCACGGTAGGTTTTACCATGAAAGGTACACCAATACAATATATCGATGAAAAAATGAACAGCTAGAAGTATTTAAAAGATAGAATTACAGAAAGATGATTACCAAAATTATGTCCGTGAAAACTATAATGAATGCCTGTTTATGTTAAAAAAAAAAAAATTTAAAGCAAAAAGAACAAAAAATGATGAAATTGATATATTTTTTGTTATTTTTGTATGAATAAATATTTTTTGATAAAGTATATTTTATACGAGCCTCAATTGAAAATAAACTAGCTATTTTTGACTTGAAGTTCCTGACTTTGTTTATAACAGAAACTGGCAACCACTGAACATTGTGAAGAATCGCTCCAGATCCCTATCTTTCCTTAATTTTCGCAATCAACTGCGTCAGGCGTATGTCACCTAACCAGAGTATTTCTAATTATCAACAAATACTTGATGTTTGGGAATTCAATTGAATTTAATTTGAGAGCTGTATAATACACATATCTTTGCCAACTATATATACAGCCGTTTGCAGAAAGGTGCATGTGAAACAAATAAATTTGGACAAAAGGACTAATGAACAGGGAATAAATACCGACGTGCGAGTGAATATGAGAGGGACGAAACAGTGGAACGGTACATTGTAAAAAGGCTGATAGTTTCGAAAGAAACTGTTTGGGGCTGCGTCGGTGGGAGTAACGAAATAATTTGGATATATCAACAAAGTTGAAATGGTAAATTGGCCACCGTAACGATTACAAAAGCTGACGTTTCGAGCGTTAGCCCTTCGTCGGAGCGAATAGAGGAATTGTGGGTTGTGTGTGCTTTTAAAGGCAGAAAATGGAGCTACGTTATTGGTGGGAACATGGCAACGAGAAAAACA